GGAGGTGGTGGTGGTGGCGGTTGGGGTGGTTGCATCGAATCAGTATCAAATCTACTGATATCTTTCTCCCGATCCTTGTGCTTTGGTATAGCCTTCATCCTTTGTACATCAAGATCTTGCTCGTTCCACGGCTTTGGAATTGAAGCCATTTCTCTAGGCCGCATTTGATGCTCTTCCTTTGGTTTCTTTGCCACTTCTGGGACTGTAGAAAGAATTTAGGAAATCACAGACATGGAGGTGGGGGGAGACTTGGAATGGAAGTGCATAATTAATGTCAAAGTAGATGACAGACTGACAAACCAACAGTACCTTTCACTATTTGATTGCTGGGTTGGACCACGGATTCATTATCTAACGGATTCTCCCTGCCGCCTATATATGGAGCTATTTCATGCCGCTTGGAAAATCGGTCAGTGCCTTGCCTTTCTCTGCAACACCTTGGCATGAAAAGCAAGAGCCCTAATACCAAAATTACAAATGACAACACCGCAGCAATTGATATCCACACTATCCTTTTGGTAGCTGAAGACTTTTTTGTTCTTCTAGAATTTGATTCCTCCGTTGAAGATGGTGCATCAGCTGGTTTTGTTGGTGTTTGTTCAGAAGGTGCCCCAAAAAAAGGTGGTGCTCGGCGTGGTGGTGGTAGCATTGCCGGAGATGTGGGTGGAGCGGATGGAGCATTACTAGTATTGAATGGATTCCCATCTTTTCTGCATGAGGAATACCAAATAAGCAAGTAGAAGCAGAATTACAACTTACAACCACAAATTACCTTCATAGAATAATTGACTCGAACATGTCATAAAAGAAGACTGAATCATATCATCCTATACGTCAACAACTACACTTATTGGGCAACACAGTTTAGCAATGTTGCTCCGGATAAACCAAACAAAGCATTATTCCAATCTAGGAAGCACGAATATGGATACAGATACGTGATACAGGTGCAATACGATATGAATATAGCAATGCAACAAAACTTAAAAAAAAAAACAGGATAAGGTAAACAAGATAAGGGTACGACCTAGATACGTCTATAATAAAATATATTTTATACTTTAATACTTTTTAACGACTTAAAAATTATAATTTTCAATAACTCTTTACCGGTAGGAATCAAAATTAAGAAGTTTTAACTTCAAAAATATGTAATATCGTCTCATTATAATATATCCATAAAATGAGCGTGACCAATTAAAAGAATCAGAATCACATTTAACTAGTTGGTTTGTTTACAAATATTTGTTTTTAAGATTATAGTATAACTAACTCATTTTTTTATACTCTTTTGACATGTAATAGTAAATAATACTTAAAAAATCCTCTAGTCTTTAACATCAAATGTAATTTTGTTGATGTTTTGTATTATATGTAAACTCAAAAGGGGAAGATATAGATTACAATTAAAATTTGTACATCTTACTCCATGTTTAAAAGTATCCGCTAAGCATCCACATATTTTATTAATTATTGAATACATATTCTTTTCCGCTCTATCAAGGACTACATATTCACAAGCAAACATATCATTTTCGTTAACTCATTCCATTTTAGTTTTGGCAAGGAGTTTGTGTTTTTGGATTCCTTTGTGGTGTACAATTCCAGAGCTGGAAATTTATCTAGTTGTCCGGTGGTTAAGTTCGGAAACAAATGGTGTTGATGAGGAATGGGACAATAGGTGGGACCACTCTCTCTCTAATCCCCCTCCCACCCCACCTGTGAGGATGTATACACTTACCTATGGGTTATCTCCACAATTATGGGGGTAAAACGCACTCTAATGGTTAATAGTCAAAATTTATATTACACCATTATAGATAAGCAAAAATTCAAAGACACTCCTTCTATTGCTTAAAATTTCACTGATGCCCCTTGTCAGTGTTTGTCATTTAACGGGGTAATCGAAATAAGTCAAATGACAAGATATTGCAAATCTACAACAACAAATTGTATATGATCATAACATTGACTAAATTAAAGACAAGTTGATGTAATGTTTGCTAGTCTCTATCCTCAATAACCCAATTTTATCTAGAATGTGATGTTTGGCACGGATTGCTCAATAATTGAAATGGGGGAGAAAGCATTCTATGACTTATTATATAGTGTAGCATTAAAGTGAATCACTTATTGCATCTACAATGTGATCCTCAGCAAAATTTGCTGCATTACTACATGTCTGCAGCGGTAGTGTCCAAAGACTAATCCATCTATCTTATAATTTAAGGGTACTTGATTAGGGGAGCCTAAACATTATTTTAATCTTACTCACAAAAGCTAAAGATGAAAGATGCAAAAAATAAAGCAATTGGTCGCTTGCTTCTACTAATTGACGTCATTAGGTTTTTTGTTATTATAGTCTCAATTATCATTTTTATTGTTACTACGGAGTTCTTCCGATAAACCTAATTAAATTTGCAAGTAACAGTACAAGTTTTGCAGATAGGACTGAAATAATTACCAAGTGGCGTCAACAAACCAAATATCTTTTCATACATGTCAAACAGAGAGGAGTTGAAAGCAAATAGATTCCAATATACTAATTGTAATTAAGCACCAAAACCATGCTAAAGTAAGCATGTATGCTTTCAAAATGCAACAGAGATAAAGTAAAATTCTACAAAAGGTGGCTCTCACTTGAAATTGGGAATGTTCAACAGCTGCTGAGGAATAGGTCCAGAGAACTGGTTGTTCTCTATGTTCCTGTTACATAGAGAGAGAGAGAGAGAGGGAGAGAGAAATTCATAAACACATGAAATGGAGGCATAACTCCAACTTTTAAGATTATTCGTTAGCCAAACCTAAATAATGTAAATTGGTCTAAAGAACTAATGATTATCTGAAGTTCAAATGCAACAAGGTTGAGAAGATTACAAATCTCTGATGGGAAGATCTTGTAACACATCAAGCGTCCCAGAAAGCTGATTGTCCTGCACATGGCTGCCAACCAAAGCAGTTAGTTATATTCATATAGACAGAAAAACGAAAAATAAGTGGCCTTATCGAGATAAATTACTTACAAGGTGGTCAGAGATGACAAATTTTGCAGCGACGGTGGCAGTGGCCCACTCAAATTGTTATTGGACAAATCCCTGAATAAAGATAAAGGGCCTCTGTTAATTGTTCAATATCTTACTAAGCAAATCATGACAATAAAAAAATTTTCCAAGAAAGGAGTCCTACAGATTGACCAAAATCGTAAGGCCTTGAAAGGAATCGGGTATCTCTCCAGTTAAGTAGTTGTTGTTCAGGGACCTGATACACAACAGAGTAGCTCATGAAACTAAGATCCTATCTAAAACGAGTAATTCAATGAGAAAAAGAAGAACTTACATAGCTGAGAGTTGATTCAGAGAAGACAAAGAACTTGGAATACTCCCACTGAAATTGTTATCTGAAAGAAAACTGCCAAAGGTAAAAACTGTCATATGTTCGCAAAAGTAGGCATGCCAAATTAGTTAAGGCAATCTAAGTTCCTATATAATGTGTAAGCATTGAACAAATTGAATGCAACATCTTTTTTCTAAAACACAATGGCTAACATACAAATTCTGCAAAGTGACGGGAAGGTTGGATGGAATATTGCCCCCAATATGGTTGTTGCTCAAATCTCTGCCACGAAGCAAGTGTAAAAAACAATTAACGGAAGCATCAACGGATACATCTGAATGTCCTATGAAAGTAAAAACACGTGGTATATTCAATGATTTCGTAAAAGGATGCTAAATAATCCTCCCCAATCCCCATCTACTGTGTGATAGATGCAGAGGAGTTTCATTCCTTTGTAATTAAGCCTGAGAACAATAAACGTGTGAGTTTCAGCATCCGCAGACGGGTAAGACTTTATCCTAAATTCCTCAAGCTTACCAGAAAATTATCATACCACCAAGCGACACATTACTAAGAATGCACACACACACACACACACAGAGGCACTTACATTGATCTGATAGAAGAAAATGATATTAAGTTCTCCCCCAATTCTCCTCCCAAATTCGCACCATTAAGAGTTCTATAAAACAAGACAAACATAAGAAAATTGACACTTAAAGTTGTCAATTGACATTACCCTTTAAAGAGGTTAGTACCAGAAGGGCTTCCATACATTGAATTTATGTCTGTACCATCACACTGGACACCTTGCCAAGCTTCAGCACATGGGTCTCCACCAACAGCAACCCATCCAGGGAGAGGATGGGATCCGAGTGCAACATATAAATTATTAATTGCAGCAACTGGTCCAATATACAACAATGCCAAAGCATTAATGAGACTTGTGGATGCAAATCATTACAATCAATGTACAGTGAGACAGAAACACATAAACGCACTAACGAACTGCATAAATAAACAAAGAAGTAAAACATCACAGTTGCTGGAACAGATATGGTAATACATTTTCTTCTAAGAATGTTCAGGCATGTAGAGCACAATTGGGGATTGTAAAAGTAAAAAGCGAGCTAACTACCCTTGACTACCAAAAATGCTCATCAGTTGTTAGATATCCAATAAATTAGAGAGGGGTAGAGCACTCTCATGAAATATAATTCTCGATTCATTGAGGAACCTCTTGATACACTTTCTAAAGGTACTTTTCATAAGTAAAGAAAAAAGGAACTTCAATGATTTTTTTGTGTTTTTGTGCTTAAAAATCAAAAGTGAACGACAATTCTTCAAAGTAATACAAATACAACTTGATAAATAAGTAATAACATCCGTTACTACTGATTATGCAGTTATAGATTTGGGAGGGGAGCAAAACCGCATATTAAAAAATAAAACCAGATTTTTTTTTGCTTTAAAAATATAGTACTATTTTTGCTTTTTTAGTTTCAAAAGTAATTTCAAGTGCAAACCACATGCTACGTTTTGGCTTGAAAAAATTCTAGCCAAAAAAAGAAAGAACAACTTTAGAAAAGGGCCGCCAAACTATACTTAAACTGTAATAAAACAGATGCATTTGTCACTGAAATGGATGGGCAAATCTAATCTAAACAATTAAACAACAAATGAATTTCAGAAATGGTAACTTTTAAACTTACCGTCAGCAGGGTTGGTGTCTGCTTGAGAAATCCGAGTTGTACAGATTATTAAAAACCCCAGAAAGAAATTCACAGCAGATCTCTTGCCACCCATTGATCCCAAACAATTTTTATCTTCAATCTACTCTTTCTTGGGAAAAGGACTCTAGATAACCAATTCATAAAACAATCTCCAATCTGAAGAAAATCAAAGCCAAAAAAATACACAGAATGTCATTAATCACACCACCCCAAAAGTACAACATATGAATTGCTTCCACAAAACCCAACTCAAAAAATGAAAAAAAAAAATGAAAAATCATACGCAGTTAAGATCTATGTATACAAATATGACTGTAGACAAGAAGAAAATGAGCTCGTATAACTAAACATTGCCCAATGCAAAGTGAATAATGAGCAAATGATGACATTATCAACAGAGAGAAGCGGTGATTGAGCTCACCCAGAAAAGAAAAAAAAAAGGTCAGATATACTGTGAAAATTCAACAAAAAATTACTTGCCTGTTAAGGTTTTCAATGAACACACGTGAACATTAATTGCACCCAAATTGTTTAAGAGATGTATGTAAGTGCAAACCTAGAGAAAGAAGGACCTTACCTTGGAATGAGACGGAATAGAAACTGGGAAAAAGTGATGCGTAGAAAGTTGAAGAGAATGAACCGTATACACACTCTGTCTCTCTCTCTCTTCTCTCTCTCTCTCAAAAAGAGCAAGACCATCGAGTGCAAGTCATACACATCAAGCTGTGAGGGTCCGAGAGCGGCGAAACCACTAGTCCTACGCGCATTAATAGCGCGTGTTACGATAATTTATTACAGTATGGGCTTAGGTTCGATCTAATTGGTAGGACAGTTTAATTTGGGCAGGCCGTGGAATTCGTCATTATTTTGTGCGTGAATAACTATAATTAAATTAATATTTTTTACTGACAATACTGAGTAAAAAATAGCCGCCACTGTTTATTTGTGGTTTGGGTGGTTAAAAAAACTTCAAGCAACAGTCTACAAGCCATGTGATTGCAGTAGACAAAACCTCCAAGTCACTCAATTTCTTGATTTTATTTTCATAAATAAATGCTTTAAAGTTTGAGTCATTTTCAACCCTTTGGTATTACAAACTTTCCTCTTATTTTTTTTTTTTTAATTATAGAAATGTTCGGATCAATTTACACGTATTTTGATTAATCCTCCAACACATGTTTAAATAGTTTTTCAATAGAACAATGCTATTGAGACCTAATTTACTGATATAATTTACTGACCTAATTCACTGTGACCTTTGAATTCACTGTAGACTCTATCAAATATTAAAACTTGGTGTTGATCCAATAGTTTCTATGAAACAACATCATTATAAGGTCAAATTTTTAAATCCAAATAGTATTACTTTTTCAATAGGGTTGGATTGATTTTAGTAAATTTTTCTCAAATCCAACCTTTTTTTGTACATGAAATTAATACATAGATCACATTCATACATTTATTTGGTAAGTAGCATAAATATGCGTGGGAATTACGGATTAATAACAATTTTAACAAAAAATTATCATATTCTTGACTAAATTACACATTTATCAACCCAATTCATACTCAAGTTTATTTAAGTCCAACAAATGGGAGTGATTGGGAGTTGGAATGTGATTTGGGTAGGTAGAAATTTATTAGGGGTACAATGATTCAATTTACTTATTTATCCTAGGCTGGTAAATATGAAACCCACCCCGTTAGGTTTTGTGAAACCCATGTAGTCTGGCCAACATTGTTCATCGCGGGCCGGAATTTGAATCTCGAATCATAAATTAGTAAACAAACACGAATATGACCGGTCCATTTGACTATTTTAGTCAAACCTTTTTTTTATAAACTCGCCCAAACCTCATAAACAAATAGGTCACAACTCACTTGGGAGTTAAAAAGTTTTGAACTCAAAATATCTGAATTTACAATTTATCTCTGTTTTCACTGAGTTACCTCTTGAGATTACTATTACAAATTTTTCAACCCCTCTTGCTCCTAATTCTTTTATAGTAACTACAAAATTGAAAAAGAAAGAATATTTATCACCTAGATGATTATTTAGAGTTGGTAAACATTTACATAAAAATGACAAATATGAATGAAATGGGTTTATGTTATAAGCGGGTTGGTTCACTAGACTTATTTGATAAATGAGTAGATCAGAACTTGAATATATAATATACGAAAGCGACTAATGCTTGGTTGTACAGAAGCGATTCAATTACTGAATCGAATCAATTCTAAATAATTTAGACATGATATTAACTTGATAAAGCACGACATATTGTCTATTCCAATTCCTTAATAAACCCAAACCCCAAGTTTCTTATGACTAAAACCAAATATTAATATAATGTATTGATCTAATTCATTCTGTTTACAGGGTTGATAGTGAATCTCATTCAATAAAGGGAATTGTTATCAATCCAATAGATATAATGTATTAAGTCATTAAAAAATAACTACTTAGGATTAGAACATGAAAGATTTATCTCTCATGAATACCCTAATTCCATCGTAGATAGCTGCCTATGATCGGAACAGAAAGAAAATTAATCAAGGTGCACGTAAGCTAATTCGGACCCCCTATCATTGAACTTAAAAAAAAAATTAAATCAACAAATTAAGTTTAAATAGCATTACTCTTAAATATTATACACTTAAACCTTGAATCACTTATCCATTGCCATGTGCTGACTAGGTATTGGTTATTCTCTTAGCACATGGAGGGCAATTTATAAGATAGATCCTTAAGTATACACCTATTTTCTATATGGAACCTTAAATTTTTAATTCTAACAATCAAATGCTTAAAAGTTCTAATTAGGTTGCAATCTTGTTTGTTTATCCAAATTCGTTAATTTCTATTTATCCATTTCTATCAAATATGTTATATCTCTCACTTCATCTATAGGCATCTCTTAAATCATCGACATGCTTCTTTTTTTATTACTAATTAAAAAACTAACGAATCTAAATGAATGAAACACAACTTCAATTAACGGGATTCGATTGTTCAATGGAAAATTTGAAGGCCAAACAAAAACTAAAGGTACATTAAAATTTATCTTAAAATACGAATTTATACACGAGGATAAAGAAGTTGGAAAATTAATGAAGGTTCTAAAATTAAATTAAATCAAGAATGAGAGAGTAAATGGCATTTCATAGTTGCCTAACTATAGACAAATAATGTAAACTTGTACATGCAATTTCTCCTTTATTTGGAGGATTGTTTTCTTGACAAATATTTTTGTTTTTTACCCGAATTATTGTCACTGAATCGGTAATTTTGTTCAATAGAAAAATTATCAATGAATGCATCATACTTATTTATCTACAAAATATTATTAACCCAATCAACATAGATAAAAATTACAATTTTGAAAGCACATTGTATAACTAGGACTAGTAGGATCACCTAATTTTACTGTCTTATTTTTCTTACTTAGGAAGCTAATAGCATCAATCATTTACAAATCCGCAATTAAATATCTGCAAAATGTCTACGATTTAGGGACTAATTCGAAAACTGATAAACTGTTTGGAGAAAAGACCTATACCGAAAATAATAGATAATTGATACCCTTTAATGACCCATTTTTTCTGTTGCTAACTTAGGTTTAACCAACCATATTACGCAATCGTCTTGTGGAACTAAGATCTTTTTTCTTTCACTTACACTATAAAGGTCAAGATTCGAATAGAAAAATCAAAAAGAAAAACTAATACCGTCGTCTAAAAGCAAAAGTGAAATTACGATGAAAATTCTATTTAACATTAAAAAAACCAGAAAAGGAAAAACGAAAGGCTAAAAGAATTAATAATCTTATAGCATCCAATTGGTGGTCAATTTAGTTTTTTTTTAAAAAGGGGGTAATTCTTTCAAAATTTCCAGGAAAGAGAAAGCTACTTTTGTAAAGCTATTAATTTTTCTCACCTTTTTTCTCTTTTACGGACATAAAGAAAAGATTATTAACTAAAACAAAGACGATGTCGTAAAGGTTGCTGGTCTTTATCGCTTTTAAAGGCACCAACGCTGTCTTTAGTCACGGAATCTATTTGATAGATACTGCCAAAGCTTCAAAACCTTAAAATCCTAAACATGCCCATGCAAATCACTAAAATTGCATTTTAGTGCCAAGTATTTTTAGAGGGTTTTTTCTTCTTTTTTGTAAATATAAACCGGTTTGAATAAGCGTGGAAATCAACCATAGGGCACCCAAAAACCAAAAAAAAACTAACCAAGTGCAAAAAACTTCAGTTATTGATGATGTTTATATAAATGCAGTCTTATTTTTGTTTGCCAAAAAAAAAAAATTCTCTAATTCAAATTTGTGATGGTTAGATTCTAATAGAGTAATCTATCGTCAGGGGCGAACAAAAAGGTCGGGGGCAGTTGTCCCAATTAAATTTTTTAAAATTTTTGGGGTCTTTGAAATTTTAAAAAATATAATTTTTTTTTTTAAACTTTGCCCACACAAAAATTTGTAAAAAAATTGGGTACATTTCATATTTTAAAAATCAAATGGGATTGTTTCATATTGGATTATTTCAAATTTAGGTCTCCATAATTTTAATCGATTATCTAAGTTGATATCAATTATGTCCTATTTCGCGAATTGAAATTTTGAAATACCAAAATCTAATTTGATTGTGATATAATCCGATTTATTACATTCATATATGTGAATATACAATGAAATTAAGTATTACTTTATACAATTGAATCGGACTAAAATATAATTTAATAAAATTTAACTTTAAATAACTCATCGTATCCTCGAATATTTAATATTTATCTTATTTGGATATAAATTATTAAAAAATTCATTTCAATATTCATAAATATTAAAAAAATATTTTAAATCAAATTCAAATCTCTTAAAAATCGATTTGAATTTCATGTGGTTGTCATGTAAAAAATATCCAAATTTACAAAAAAAAAATTGATAATTATTATATGATTATTCTCCTCAAACTATTGATTGCTTCTACTATAGAACAACCCTGACTTCGCCCATGTTCATCATTGTGTTTCTTAGGTCTAAAAGTTCTATTCTTAAACCTTAAGCA